AGCCAGTTCCCTCTACCTGGTTTCATTCATTCACTCATCTATTCATTCACTCATTCATTCATTCCCCTCTTTGACACCAAAGAAAGGGACACCACATACTGTGGACTTGAAGTACAATGCTAATATAATAGGTTGTCACTGCCCTGAAAGCGTTCCCAGTCCTATGAGGAAGACTGCTAAGCGAACAAAAAATTGCTTCAATGTTACAGCATTGACTGTGTACAATAAATCTGGGAATAGCTTGGGAAGAAACCAAAATTAAGAGAAGGTTATGACTGGTAAATTTTTAAGACTAGCATTTTACACATATGACCTACAATTAAACAGGAAGTACCTTAGATAAAAAAGGTAAGATACACTTTAAATAGTTCTGTAGCAATATTCTGATACCCACTGAAACATATAATATCACCCTGGCCAAATCCAAACCTTCTTTAGAGGGAAATGTATACAATAAACATGGAAAATCCGTGCTTTGTGATTTATAACCACAATTACAAAATGCTTTATTTGCAGTCTCACAAATGATTTGTCATAGTTAGAACTAAAGTGTAACTTTGAAGTGTGTTTTTAAAATATTTACTTATTTACTCATTTATTCGTTTATTTATTATCATCATAAAGGTGACACATGCTAGTAGAAAATTAGCAGAATATAGAAAAAGAATTTAAAAAGATGAAAATTTTCACCTACTTACTGAAAAAAAGTTTGTGATCGATTAATCTTCAACCAGAAAAAGCCCACATCGCCTGATTTTGTGTGTCCTGGAGTTGGAGATAGCTCACTCTGTCTCTGATGTGTACCCTTCAGCTTTGTCCGGCCCTGGCCTGGTGCGCATGGTGACAGTCTGTGCTGATTCCATCACAAAGCACCTCGACAGGTTGGAGGAGGTCCGCGATGAGATGGGCTACGTGGACGTGCTGACCCTGATGCGGCGCATCATGCTGGACACCTCTAACATGCTCTTCCTGGGGATCCCCCTGGACGGTACTGAAATTTTCATTTCTGGGACTTGACATTCTGCCCTTTATTCAACAGGGCATGAGAAGGGAAATGTACCCAACTAAATACAGGCTGTTTTGTACACTGCTCTTCTTTAAATGTTTCTAACATTCCTAAAATTTCTTCCTGGTGTGTCTGCCTTGCTCGTTACAAGATTATAAAATCCATTCTAGGGGCTTATTTCTTTTCTATCACTCCTCATTGCTCTAGGAAATACGATTCTACCCACAGTTAACAGACGTGATCATTTCTTTGGTCATGAATAGATCCTACCACCAAACCTATGATTTAACCATTTCCAACCACCCTTTTGGGCTTGATATCTACATACATCTATATACACACAAACACATGCAACACATGTGGACATAAATATACATAGACACCTCTCTCTCGAAGCCACTAAGTGTGAGAACTTTGACTCTATCTGACTGAAAATAAAGGTGCAGCTGCTGCTGGAAATGATAATGGTAAGTATCATTAATTTAGTGTCTACTATGTGCCAAGTAGTATAAAAAGTTGCTTCACACAAAGTTTGTCATTTAGCGTTTAGAACAACCCTGGCAGGATGTCTCAATCAAAAAGCTGCTTTCCATACTACATTACAGAAACAAATACTATAATACATACATGCATCTCTACCGCTAACAGAAGAACAAACATTACTTGTGTGCCTTCATTGCATTCTGCTGTTGTCAGCTGAATGGAATTTCTCCTGACTTGATTTCTAGCAGGTTCATTCAGTCATACATTCATTCAGCTAATATTTACTGATTGTCTATTTTATGTCAGTCATAGGTTCTGGGGACAGAGCAGTGAACTAGACAAAAAAATTCTTGCCTTCAAAGAGTTTATATCCCAGTGGGGTTATGGACAGTAAACAAGTAACCATCTAGTAATACACGAGGCAATAACAGGTGCCTTGAAGGGAAAACAAAGCAGGGCAAAGTGCTAGAAAGTGAAGGGGAGGTCTGGGGG